TCCAGTATCTTAACCTTGCCATTCAATAGTCGTAGTTTCCTTACTGATTATTAAAAGATAAATTTCAATTCACGACTTCAAAAATTTTGAAAACACAATGTCCGGTTAATTGTGTTGTCTACACGATTTTTTTTCCTCTTATAATGCCCTACTTTAAATGATTTCTATGGTCAAATGTTTAATTTCATGTTTGATAAAGAAATGTTGACGCGTATTAAGAACCCAAAATTAGTTTGGTAAAATGTCATTCTTTTTTATCATTCTAAATAAAAGTTACAGCGAAAAAACAGATTTATGATAAGGAATGATTTAACTATTTTGTCCGGTAATATGTAGGATCCAAGTATGAAATTAAATATGACAGATCGCCTTTTTGATACTTTTGCGTTCGATTGGGTTTCTCTTCTAACCTGTTCTAGTCTCGAACCGGGTATAAGACGATTGAAACGAACTTTCGACTATTTTACAGTTACAAAATTCTCGTTCAATATCTACTTAATCTTTTTTATTATAAATTCCTATTCAAATTAAATTCTATTTTGATTAAAATCGAATAATGTAACTTAAAGTAATATTGTTTAAATCTAAGATGACAATTAATAAAACTGTTGAGGACGAATAAAATGTTCTTTTGCGGTTAGCATGGTTAGAAGTAGCGGATCCTATGCAAGTTAACAAGTACGTTTGACTTCGGCCGAGTACCTTTTTAAAGAATATGCATAGATCCCTAATCTCGCTAATTCTAATGATCAGATTAATGGACTACAATATTAATTTCGCCACAATATATTTGTTACCATTAGAGCACATGTCAATGTTTGTGGTTAACCAGAACAGGGATCTGTTAATTGGTTATATTTTTTCTAACATACATGTACATGTATTTGCCTACTGGTAGAAATCGAATCTGCCACCGGTGTAGACCACGATCAGCCGGCACATTCATTGTGATTGGGAGAAGAACCTATTCGTGCCCAATTCATACTCAAGGATTTAAATGATATTTACAATAATAACCATCGTCGGATACAGACGGTCGAACATTAACATATAACAGCCGTGGGATTTACAGTTTTTTTCATTGGTTGCCTCACGATTTATGAGGCTATTAAAACCAATCAAAACGCTCGTTCTCAAACGACGTTTGGTGAAACGTTGATTCTAGAAAAAAAACTATTGTGGACTTTGCTTGTTAATAAAATAATGGTGGTAAAGAGAGTACGATTTGCCGTGACTCAAAAACATTAGTCTGAAAAGGGACTTGTATAATATTCAAATATAGCTCTGTGATACGCAGTAAACTTTCAAACATTTTGAGATAGATTTTTTTATTATATAATGCGATTTGTAAGGGACGTAACTGGTGTGTAGTTAGAAAGGTTATTTCCTTTCTACAGTAATTGGTTACAAGTGCAGCATTTATACTTTGTGCATTTATAATTATATCGGATGTTTAATCATAGTAGATGAATAAATTCTTGCACCAGATTCCCCCCCCCCCCCACTGAGCATCGTTAGGAGTACTTCGAAGATAGATAGATACTTTTTATTTCCTACAATATTTGAAGAGCTTAAATTAATATGTTTAAATTTTCAAAATCTTTGAACAAAATGACTTGTATTTACTGCTTGGTCATACACATTAAAGGAGGTGGGGATGGGAAGGGGTTGACATTTTACTACTTTTAAATGAATAATTTTTTTTGTAACAATGCAGTATAAGATTTATATATAACCGATGATAGACATGAAACGGGACTTGGAGTTTGAATTTTAATAATAGTAATTAGAACGGTATTAATTAAAAGAAGGATGTCAATAAAGTACATGATCTAAAGTTTACCAGTTTGTTGTATGTAATCGAATACAAATTATTAGAGGAAGGAATCACGAACAATGCGTCGGTCGTGGTTAATATTTCCTTCCCTTGAACAACATGCGCTTTTATGATATCGATTTTTACATTCAAGGGACATAACTGTGATGTGTACTTTGTCAATTAAGGGGGGGGGGCGAAGGATTATTTCCCTTCTACACTATATGCAATCCACCAAAAAGTTTTGTATACAATAGGCTATACCTCGCGCATTAATTATTGTGCCAGGGATATTATTGTAAACGAATCAGTCGGATGGGGTCGACATTTTACTACGTTTATAAAGGGGGTAATGAGTAAGATTTTGCTAATTTCACTATTAAAGTTTGTTTAATTTTCGCTTAAGTTATATCCAAATCTTAGAGGGGTCCTTTACAAACAAGCCGAATCAAATGTGCCCGGGGAAGGGAGAGCCCCACACCCGTACCCCTGCTAGACCCGCGCATGTTTTCTTATGTCCTTATTTTATAGATTAATGGCAGTGTATAAAATATTATGATGTATCAGATTGTAATACAGTTCATGTATACATACGTGGGAAAATTATATCAAATTTACAAGTATACAATAGGCCACCCCGGACTCTCACTGGGCTTTGTACAGTGTCCTAAAACCTGTAGTTTTGATAATACAGATAAGATAATCTTTATTTATAGTCGGTTACAAAAAACGTATAAACATTAGCTATATAAGCTATTTTCCGACATAACAGAGTATCCTTTAACAATGCAAACAAACAGTCTGTATAAAAGAAAATTTATAAAAGGATTAAGAAGATCAATGTACATTTATGAGTGACTCTGTAAAATGAATTAATTTATAAGCACATATCAATATGGATAAGATAATAATTGATTAAAAACAAATATCACACTACAATCAAACATCACAGATTATTACAACATACTAGAATTCCATTTCATGTACGCTTAACCTAATAATCAGAATTAAAAAAAAAACCAAAAAAACAACAAAAAAACAACAACAACAACAACACGAAAATGAGGATTTGTGCAAACAAATTTGGAACTAAATATTGTAACATCTGAAATTTTGGCTGCATGCGGGGGCATCCGTGGCGTGACGACACATTTCTAGTTACAAAGTACTATTATAGTATTTTTGTCTTAGTAAGCATTAACCTAGCATTATGCTATAGACAAATCTACATGTAAAATTGGCAAATCTACAGTGAATCGATCTGTTGCTGACGTTTGATAAAAGCATGATACGTGTAAATACTTAAAATACGAATATCTGTTACATTTTATGTAGTCATAAGAGCAATATATTTAAAATTACTAGGGTGATTCCAATAGTGTCTCTTGATATATTGTGTACGAAGTTCTTTAAACATACATGTATTACATACAAGTACAAAATGGTATTCATCTTCTAATGTATTACATATATGACAAATTCGTTCATTTAAAGGAACACATTCTGGTTTTCTTCATCTTCCAGATTCTACAGATAATCTATGGGATGATATGCGTAATCGTGCCAAAGCTATTAGCTTCTTCTCTTCTCTTCTTCTTCTTCTTCTTCTTCTTCTATCAATTCTCGTAAACTATACGGACAGAACCGAAGTGGAATCGAATATTTAAATGAGTGCTATAATGTATTCATAATTGACAGGTTAATAAAATCAGACTATAACGTTACATTGTAAACTTGTTATTGGGAGAAAATTATATCAATTTTACAAATATACAATAGGCCACCCCGGTGGAGGGCTTTGTACATTGTTCTAAAACCTGTAGTTTTGATAATACAGATAAGATAATCTTTATTTCAGTAAGACTGCCCGGCTCTGATATATATATTAAACGATAAAAATATGTTTATAAAAATAACATGTACATGCGCATCAATATGAAATTTGAAATGTTTGTGTGGCAGTCGCTGAGCTGAGCTGGCCTAAAATAAATTTAAGTCATGCGGGGTAAGCTTATTAGAAATAATATATATTAATTAATCAATATTGAAAGTTTGAGAATAAAATCAGAGTCTTAACATGTGGTGGTAATTAAGCCTTTAAATGACTCAAATATATAGAGGATATTCAAGTTTTTTCTATAAATACATGATTTATTTTCATCGAGTGGTATGAAAATAAATATTTCATGAGTGGTGGTAGCCACGAGTGAAATATGGTAATTTTCATGCCACAAGATGAAAATTAATCGTGTATTAATAGAAAAAACTTGAATTTTCTGTTTATTATATACATTTTTCTCTTTTTTGACATTAAAATTTGAAAGACTTTCCCTTAAATTTTGTGTACTGGCAGAATTTAAAAGAAAGTAGTCCGGCAAGACACCAGTGAAAATACGGAAAATATGTTTCACTGCAGTGAAAAATAAATTTTTACAGTGAAAATACGGAAAATGAAAATATGCATTTTATTTCATCAATATTTCACAATATTTCATTTATAAGTATATAATAAATAGAACCACAATTTCCTATGTTGTAGTTTCTTTTTCCTTGTTTACGTTATATAACCACAAGTTCCAATATACTAATTCATTTTCCTTGTTTATATGTTTAAATTCACGTTTTTGTACTTTCTTTGTATTGTATTTTAAATGCAATAATCTTCGGATACATGCCAATTTAGATGAAAATTATAATTAATATTATAACAGTTACATGTATATATAAACAGTGAGTGCCCAGCGTTGAGAATGATGATACTATTAATGCTGTAGCAAATTTTATCCAGCTAGACTCGAATTTCTAAAAAAACCCGTAATATCTGGTTGAACCTATATAGATCTAGAAAGTGAATTATTTGGCTTACTTGAATATCTTTTCTTTTTTTTTATTCACTTTTGTCATTTAATATGCCTTAGTTTCTGATTGTTACAAAGTCTTTTGTTAATGTTTTTAGTTCTGTACATCTTGTTCAATATCATTATTATGTGACTATATGCCTGTAAAGGCCAATGATTGGAAATAAATAATATTCTATTCTATTTTGTTCTGTTCTATTCCATTCTGGTCTATTCTATTCTATTCTGGTCTGTACTGTTCTGTTCTACACTGCGCTGTTTACTTGTGTACTGTATTGTAGAAAAACGGTAGTGGATTGCATTTAGCTCACATTGGAAACGAAAGTAGGAGCGATAAATATTTTTGTTTTTCGAAAACTTTAACTTGTGTTAACCAGGAAGAGAATAGCAGCAGATTGTTATTATGTGTGTATTATTATGATAGTTTAAACAATGTGTATTATAAGATAGTTATATTCGAACGGAAATGGTTTAATCTTGCAGGTTAATGCTTTAAATATTTCTATTAAATTTACGTAGTTTATATCTGTATATTATTACTGTATAGAAATACTTAACTACTTTATAGAAGTATCCAGGTAATGTTTGTGAAACATTTTAAAGTTAACTATGATTATATCTACCAGTATGTATGTCTTATTACGTCTTATTTCGAAAACCTCTTGAAATACTTAAAGAATGAATGTTTATTAAGAAACCTACTTTCGTTTTTGATTTTTTTAAAAAAATTCGTTTGCTTTGTTTACATACATGTATATACGGTACTGAGTACAGTACATTTTATCTTTATTCAAGTAAGGACAGGTAAATGGGTTACACACCATTTGAAGAAAGGGTTTCCAGGTAGTTTATATTGTGAATTTGTAATACTGAAAATGTTTTGTTTAGGTCTACATTGTGTATAACTAGTCAAAATACATATTATTATGACGTATATATGAATGTATATTGACGTGGTAAAGCTAGAGATATTTTTGTTCTGGGTCAGACTCTTGCTTCTAAGAGAGGAGATTTTTGCCCATACATAAAATAGATGACTGTACAATTAGTTGGACTACATTGTGTACCTCAACCTGTAAATACACTTATTGATAGGAATGATTAATTTATTATCTGTACATAGTTAAAGGCACATTAATTATAGGGAATTTATGCCACAAAAACAAATAGATGTTTACTTCCTTAGAAAGGGCAATTAGTTTTATAACATTTAAATAACGGTATTAGAACATTTTTGATGCTTGTTTTTTTTTTAAGATGTAGCACTAAATGTGAATTAATTTGTCACAAAAGTAACAAAATGTAAACAAAGTAGTATTTTGACTTCCATGTACAGTATGTGCTAAATATTGAATCACTATACTTGTACTAATTGCCAAAAAGGCATCAGAAGAAAAAGTTGACTCAGGTAATTGGCCAATGAGTATTTTTTTGAAACTATAAAAGTACACTGAAAATAAAAAGCTATTAAAAATAAAAGTTCAAGCATTTCTAGGGCATAATGGGCCTTTAAAATATATTGACATGCCAAAGTTAGATCTGAGATATTTTTGTTCGGGGTCAGAGGGGAGATATTGCCCATACACAAAATAGCACAATATCTCATTGCATAGTACAATTAGCTGGATTAATTTATTACATTGGTTAAAATATTCTGTTTTGTTAAAAACGAGGAAAAACATATAATGAGAAAAATAGTAGTTTGGTATTTATCCTTAATAGTTTAAATTTGCAAAAGTTTACAACATAATACAATATAAAGCTTCCTCTGAACAGACATTTTATGGAACTACTTTGTATAAGTAAAAGGCAATCTAGGTTAGTTATTTATAAACTGTTTTTAAGTCAAATACAGTTGTTAGGCATAGGTGTTCGGCTCATTTGTATTGTCAATAATGATCAAATAATCACCAAGACCAAAATTATTATCCAGCACCTTATGAACAGGTGCTCTTTATTACCATATAGTCCTGAAACATATTTATAATACATGTACTTCATTTTATATAATGTGGGATTATATAGAAGATATTTGTTTGTTTTGCATGTAAGATTGAAATATAATTTCACTGTGTGAACACCAGATGCAATATTTTCACGAGTGGCGTAGCCACAAGTGAAAATATAATAGCTGGTGTTCACGAATGAAATATATTTCAATCTTATAATATTGTAAAACAAATAAATTTTCTTTTTATTTCATGCTTTTTAAGTGATTTTAGTATCTTTTACTGATTATTACACGTAACGTCGCGCATTCACCTTTGTGACGTCATCACATCATGACGTCACATCATCAATTTTGAAATAATTATAGTTCTGTTAAATTTCTCCAATTTTGTTACATTTTTAACATGATGTATGGCGACATAGACTTTCTTTTTCTAAAGAAACAAAATTTACGCATGACGGCATTTATTTCTGCCTGTTATTCCATTTAGGTATGATTTTCTTTTCATCCGCATTCAAATATAGTCCGGCTACAGTGAAAATTATATTTTATAAATTTCACTAGTGGTTTATCAGAATATAATTATCTGATATATTACAATAAAACATTGGAAATCATGAAATAAAAATTGATAAGTCTTGTACATTGGACAAAAATGATATATTTTTGGTCCCAGCTTGTACATGACCTACTTGATTGTATTTAACATTTTATCGTAGTATTGATATGGGCATTGTATAATGTAGTCAGTGTTTTTATCTGTAAACATAATAGGAAGGACCAGTCACCTATTGACTTTACAAACAAAAGTTTAAATATACATTCAGTTTAGATTTTTTATTTTGTTTCACAGATCCTCATTCCTGTTGTGAAGCGCTTTTATATTTTACATAAAGGCCTTTATACCTCAGAAATGATGTCATATTTATTTTTCAAAAACTTTTTATTAAATTTTGGTATATTGTTACAGTTTCCAAAATAATTTTTTTTGCTATATGCATAAATGATCTTTTGCTGATTTTGTTATGTTGGCAATTGGTATAATTATATTGAATTAGTATATTTTATGGAAGTCAAAATACTATGTACTTTGTTTACATTACCGTTAAGACATATAATTGCATGTTCCGTGCTACTTCGTCAGTCGTTAAACATCTAAAATGCTCTTAATCCATTATCAAAACATTATTAAGAACATGTAGGACATTTCTAAAGAATTTAAATAGTAAGGATTTCGAAGGCATAATGTGCCTTTAATGACACTCGTATACTTTTATTTGTTTGGCAGCAAACACTATATTTGCTGAAAAGACATTAGAACTCTCAGGTGTATTAAGTTTATATCTGATCAAAATTTGATAAATATCTGATCAAAATTTTGATAAATTGTATTTAATATATCTATGTTTCCTTTACTATATTACAGACAATTATGTAAACTTCATGCAAGTTTTGGATGAAAGAAGTTAAACAATGTCAGAACTACAAGAGCGGTGTGTGTTGTTGAAGAACTTACCCCATACATGTGAAGAACGTGCAGTTAGAGACACACTTGATTTCGCTCATGGTGACTTCCGGTATACTGGCAAATACGAGAAACTTCACAGACATATTGAATTTGGTGATGATGTCAGATGGATTGTTCTCTTTTACTCAAAGGAAGGTAAAATATATATATTCAGCTATTTTATCTAGACAATCACATTGGACAATTCTTTAATATAATTGAGCCGTGTCACGACAAAACCAACATAGTGGGTTTGCGACCAACATGGATCCAGACCAGCCTGAGCATTCGCGCAGTCTGATCAGGATCCATCCTGTTCGCTATCAGTTTCTCTACTTGTAATAGGGTCGGCAAGCGAACAGCATGGATCCTGATCAGACTGCGCGGATGCGCAGGCTGGTCTGGATCCATGCTGGTCGCAAACCCATTATGTTGGTTTTGTCGTGACGCGGCTCATATGTTTTCATAAAGTGAATTCATAATGCAGATCTTGAAACTTGTTTAAAGACAGAATGAGGAAGGAGTATATAAATGCTTTGACTAATCTTTATTGTAGAATTAAATGCTATGATTTTAGTCTAATGTGTTTATCCATCTTAAATATTGGAACCTTGTAAACTTTGTTTCAATTTAAAATTAATTTTTTTTATTTTGAATTAAATTAAATGAAAGCCCCTATCCCCCCTGCCCCCCACAAAGCAATGCTAAACATGTACAATTGTCTGTCCAACTTGAAAATGGCATATAATCATTAAAATGTTGATTGAATTTTAAATTTAAATTTTCTTATTTTATTAAATTAAATAATTTCAAAGCCCCCTACCACAAAGCAATGCTAAACGTGTATAACTGTCTGTCCAACTTGGAACGTGAAAATAGTATCTTCCATTTAAAACATAAATTTTCTTTCTGTGCATGTATTACATGCAGTTGATATGTCAAAATATGTACTAGTAAAATTTTTGCACGCTGGTATACATTTTAGACTGACTTAATGACGGTCTCGGTAATTTGATTGTCAAATGGCATTGCCAAAATGAAAATGCTTTCTTTTCGAAATATGACTAATGTCAGAAAAAAAATCAAATACTGGTTGTCATCACAGACACGAATATCTAGCTGTCAGATAACTGTTTAGCGGAAACTCTTATGAGCCTGATAACAACCGCCGTAAACAGTTACCCACGAGCTAGATATTCTGGCCTGTACCGTTAGCTGGCGTAAAATCCTTATAAGATCATAATGTAGTTAAATCATTCTTTTAAAAAAAATGGCCTTTCCAAATCATGGTGCTTGCTCTGTTCAGATTCAGATAACTATGTCTCTGCTCTGTAATTGCATGTATTTTTCTCTGTTGACGTTATCCCACGTGCACGGTTTGTATACAAGGATATATTATATTCATACTTGTAATAAACACTGAAGAAGATATAATAATATTTCAGATGCTAGTGAATGTATAAAGAGCGGTCCCTGGGTGAGTGATGCTATCAGGGGAGGATGTAAGGTACTACCAGATCTTTGTTCCGGATGTATTATACCCGATGAATGGTCCGAGGTAACAATCATGCTTTTATATTTATAGAGGATATTGAATGAGTGTAGGTTTAATACTAAATTTATTGAGCAAGTTGAATAAAATCATATTATGCAAGCCTCTTGCGAGCATAATATTGCTTTATTCAACGAGTTCATTAAATTTGGTATTGAACCTACATGAATATAATATTCTATTTATCACATATTCAAAAAGAGAACGGTTTATAGTTAAATGAGTCATTTTTCATTGATGCGCCTTTGGTGTAACTTTTATTTTAGCACGTTATAAACGCTATATTTATATATGGCACAAATGACTTCACGTCAAAGTGTTATTACACTAGTGTAATATCGTTTTTATTAAATGGCTTTATTACACTTCTGAGCCCCGGTTTATGTGATAAATCAGGTTATTAATATGGGCATTAGTGTATTCAATTAACATTTTCAAGTATTAATTTTGTCAGCACACTTGTCATTAGCTCATTGTTGGTTCTCAGTTCAGTTTCATCTTGTCTGGTTTGTTAACTTGTTTTAGATTACTTGGCACAAATGTCAACGCCAATCAGAAAATATGGTGCACTGGTACCTCAAAGGTCAATGTGATATTTAGGGACCAAATGCAAAATGATGCCTTTCTCTGCTTACCCGGACGTTCTAACAGGAGAGTAATAATGTGGCTACTCTATTGTTCTCTCTATTGTTCTTTTTAGCCACAAAAAGAAAATAGCCATATAAAAGCATTACGGAATGAATGACATCAAAGAGAAAGAACAGTTACCTATTGTCCCTCTAGCCACATAATTACTGTCCTGTGAGTGTGGGTTGTAACCTCACCAGGGATTTGAGGTTTCCAAAATAATTTGTTACAACTATCAGTCTAATTGAGAGGATGTAGGCAATACCAATATAACTGTAACTTATAGCAAAAGGTCAACACTTAAAGATAAATGTCCAATATGGGTATGAAACATCAAGGTACAGAACTTATTTGGTTGTGGCTTTTAGCTCACCTGTCACAAAGTGAAATAGTGAGCTTTTGTGATAGCTTTCCTTCCGGTGTCTGTCCGGGTTCCGTCTGTAAACTTTTACTTTAAATGACATCTCCTCATAAACCGCTCAGCCAAATTCATCCAAACTTCACAGGAATGTTCCTTTGGTGGTCAACTTTAAAAATTGTTCAAAGAATTTAATTCCATGCAGAACACTGGTTGCCATGGCAACCGAAAGAAAAAACTTAAAAAATCTTCTTTTAAAAAACCGAAAGAGCTACAGATGAATAATTGTCTAGTCAGTGTCTACCAAGTTTTTTCAAATAAAATCCTTGGAGATAAAACTGGCCCCGCCCCGGGGGGTCATTGATATTCCTTATATGTATATAGTAAAAAATCTTCTTTTAAAAAACCAAAAGAGCTAGAGCTTAGATATTTGGCATGAGACATCGTCTAGTCAGTGTCTACCAAGTTTGTTCAAATAAAATCCCTGGGATCAAAATTGGCCCACCCGGGGGGGATCATATATATTCCTTATATGTCTATAGTAAAAACTTAAAAAATCTTCTTTTAAAAATTCCAAAGAGCTAAGATATTAAGCATGAAACATCTTCTAATGGGTGTCTACCAAGTTTGTTCAAATAAATGAATGCCATGGGGTCAAAATTGGCCCCGCCCTAGGGGTCATTGATTTTCCTTATATGTGTATAGTAAAAACTAGTTACCTTCTTTTAAAGAACCCAGAGAGCTAGAGTTTAGATACCAAGCATGAAAAATCTTCTTGTGAGTGTCTACCAAGTTTGTTCAAATAAAAGCCCTGGGTCAAAATTGGCCCGTCCAGGGGTGGGGGTCATTGATTTTCCTCAAAGGAAAAATTAAAAAATCTTCTAATGGGTGTTTACCAAGTTTGTTTAAATAAAAGCCCCTGGGTTAAAACTGGCCCGCCCCGGGGGCCTATATACAGGTGAGCGATTTCAGGGCCATCATGGCCCTCTTGTTTAAACAATCTGAGAAAAATGTGATTAGCTCAAAGGTAAATGTTACAATAAGAGGTTTAATGTCAAATATTTGTCGAAAACAATATTTCTGAACAGTTACTTTGATAATTGATAATGCATTTTGAAATAACGCGGCACTCATGTTTAACAAAACAAGGCAATGGTAAATGCTTACGAATACTATATAGCTCAGAAGTCAATTTAAAAATGAGAGGTTTAAAGTCATAAGTCTAAAACAATTTGTTCTGAAAAATAACTCTGTCATGTGATGGAAAAAATTAATAGTTATTGTCACAAATGTTAAGCATGACTAAACAATTAGGAAACAAAGTCTTCATTATTATATGCTGAAAGAATTTAGAGCATATTATGTTATACCCCCTGGCATCCGTCCATCTATCCGTCCATCTGTCTGTCTGAGCTAACATATCAGAGTTATGAGCTTCATTCTGTAGTTAAATAAAGAACAAAAACTCATAAAATTCATATTGTGAGCTATTTTTAGCTCACCTGTCACACAGTGACAGGGTGAGCTTTTGTGATCGCTTTTCATCCGGCGTCCGTCCGTCGTCCGTCCGTCGTCCGTCCGTCCGTCGTCTGACCGTCCGTAAACTTTTACTTTAAATGACATCTCCTCATAAACCACTAAGCCAATTTCATCCAAACTTCACAGGAATGTTCCTTTGGTGGTCACCTTTAAAAATTGTTCAAAGAATTTAATTCCATGCAGAACTCTGGTTGCCATGGCAACCGAAAGAAAAAACTTTAAAAATCTTCTTTTAAAAAATCCTAAGAGCTAGAGCTTAGATATTTAGCATGAAACATCTTCTTATGAGTGTCTACCAAGTTTGTTCAAATAAAAGCCCTAGGGTCAAAATTGGCCCCGCCCCAGGGGGTCATTGATTTTCCCAATATGCATATAGTAAAAACTTAAAAGATCTTCTTTAAAAAAACCCAAATAGATAGAGTTTAGATATTAAGCATGAAACATCTTCTAGTGAGTGTCTACCAAGTTTGTTCAAATAAAAGCCCTGGGATCAAAATTGGCCCGCCCCAGGGGGTCTTTGATTTTTCCTATATGCTTATTGTAAAAACTTAAAAAAAATTTCTTTTAAAGAACTCAAAGAGCTAGAGCTAAGATATTTAGCATGAAACATCTTCTAATGAATGTCTACCAAATTTGTTCAAATAAAAGCCCTGGGATTAAAATTGGCCCCGCCCCAGGGGGTCATTGATTTTCCCTATATGCATATAGTAAAAACTTAAAAAATCTTCTTTTAAAGAACTCAAAGAGCTAGAGCTAAGATATTTAGCATGAAACATGTTCTAATGGGTGTCTACCAAGTTTATCAAATAAAAGCCCTGGAGTCAAAATTGGCCCCGCCCCGGGTCATATTGATTTTCCTTATATGTGTATAGCAAAAACTTAAAAATCTTCTTTGAAAAAACCCAAATAGCTAGAGTTTAGATATTAAGCATGAAACATCTTCTAGTAAGTGTCTACAAAGTTTGTTCAAATAAAAGCCCTGTGGTAAAAACTGGCCCCGCCCCAGTGGTGTCATTGGTTTTAACTATATGTGTATAGTTTAAACTTAAAAAAACTTCTTTTAAAAAACCCAATGAGCTTAAGAGCTTAGATGTTTAGCATGAAACATCTTCTAATGGGTGTCTACCAAGTTTGTTCAAATAAAAGCCCTTGGGTTAAAATTGGCCCTGCGGGGGGGGGGGGTGGGGGGGAGGTGGTAGATCGTTGTTTTTTAGCTCGACTATATTCGATAAGAATAAGTAGAGCTATTGTAGTCACCCGAGCGTCGGTGTCGGCGTCTGCGTCGGCGTAACCACTTATGTTAAAGTTTTTGTAATAGTTCAAATATTTTCAAAGTATATTGACATATGGCTTTGAAACTTTGCACACTTGTTCACCATCATGACCCCAACCTGTAAACAGGAGGAGGTAACTGTATCAAGCATTTTGACAGAATTATGCCCCTTTTTCGACTTAGAATCTACGTTAAAGTTTTTGTAATAGTTCAAATATTTTCAAAGTCCATTGACATACGGCTTTGAAACTTTGCACACTTGTTCACCATCATTACCCCAACCTGTAAACAGGAGGAGGTAATTGTATCAAGCATTTTTTTTACTATCAAGTTCTAAGAATAGTCGAGCGTTGCTGTCCTACCGACAGCTCTTGTTATTATATGTGTGTAGTAAAAACTTAACATCGTGAAACATCTTCTAATGGGTGCCTTCCAAGTTTGTTCAAATAAAACTTTAAGCCCTGGGGTTTAAACTTGCCCCGCTCCGGGTGCCTTTATACAGGTGAGCGACCTCAGGGCCATCATGGCCCTCTTGTTTGTTTTTATGAGCTTATGGACTTATGTCCAGGTGTAGTTAATGAGCTTATTTGCCTCATAAATATCAAATGTTGGTATGTCCGTCTGTTAGCAATTTGGTTTCTGAAGCACATCTTAAGTTCTATTTGACCCACAATATTCAAACTTCATAGGATGATTGTCAATATTGAGTAGAAGACCCCTATTAATTTTTGGATCACAAGGTCAAAGGTCAAGGTCACTATTATCTTAAAACTGAAAATGGTTTTCGCTCAATAACTTAAGTATTAATCAACATACAGCTGTAAAATTTAACAGTTGAACAGCCATGTCCAATACATGACCCCTATTGATTTTAGGGTCATAAGGTCAAAGGTCAGGGTCACAATGACCTGAACACTGAAAATTGTGGTTTCTGGAGCATAATTTAAGTTCCATTTGGCTAACAGTGAACCTTCAAACTTCATAGGATGATTGCCTACATCGAATAAAATATCCATATTTATATTGGATTCACAAAGTCAAAGGTCAACATCAAATGACCTTAATATTTACTTTTCGGGCATATAATACACCGCCTAGCGGTGCTCTTGTGATCCTTTTTGTCCTTTTAAATATACTTTACAAGACCTGTTTTCGTTGGGATTTTAGTAGGCTTATGTATCAGTCAAAGTAAAGTACACAATGCACAATTGTACGGTGTAAACCTTTTTGGTATTTAAAGCAATTTTTTTACAATTGGGATATCACTTTGTAAAGTTCGGACGTAACCTATGGACCCAAAAGTAAATACAAGGATTCATTCATTACTGTCTAATATAGATCTGTATGTTAAATTTAGAGAAAAAAAAACAACAAACTAACACTTTCTCACTATAATCTTGGTAGTTTTACATTAGAACATGAACTTGGATCATATAAACGTTGAGAAAATCGTTTGGGAACATTTGCTATACAATTATAAACTATCATACATCTAGAACATGTATTAACTAAGAATAAGTATCTATAACTGAAATGTTAGTATATTTTCTATGATGCAAAACAAATCTTTGTAAAATATTATTTAACAATGAAGTTGTAATATTGTCTGCTTTTATCTTACTTTCAACAAAATTTATTTTCAAACATTTCATCCGAATGTTTCAAGTTATAAATTGTACTGACTAGAAACATGTATTGAAAACGAATACTTTTGTCTTGTATGCTGCTTTGCAGTGTGTTTACTTTATTAGTGGTATATACAGTAAAAACTCTGAAAATCGGACCCTGTCCGGACTTGACCAAAAGTCCGGTTTTCAGAGGATTCCGGGTATTAGCGGTGTTTTCACTCCTGCATAGATAAAAGAAGATGACCATTACCTGGTAAATGAACATGTCACCTGTTGAGATTATGTTTAGATCTGCATTTAAATTGCTGTCCGGTTTTTTATGCATGTCTAGCATTAGAAACCATAGAAAATCGTTCGGTTTTCGGAATTCAGAGGTTCCAGTATTCAGAGGATTTTTTTCAATGAACATATAGGGAGAAAATACGGGACTTTTAAAATGGTCCGGTTTTCAGAAGATTCCGGTTTTCAAAGGGCTCGGTTTTCAGAGTTTTTACTGTACTTTATATGTTCCTGATGAGAGAATAAGTATAGAATTAATTTCATTCAAATGTTACTATACAGGAAACACCTGGAGATGGAGACTGGGATATGGGCGACAGTTTCAGGACGCGGGACTGTAATACTGACACCTCAGATGAATTCATTAATTCCTTTGTCAATGTTAAGTCTTACAAATATGAAAGTGATACAGATAGTGGTGATGACATTCATGAGCAAGATGTAGCAAATGCTAATCGTGAGACTGATGGACTTGATGACGCTTTAAATCTTACTGTGAAATTTCAGAATGAGTTTGAAACTTTGATTACAGAAATCGATTCATCTGATCAGTTTGATAGCGGAAAATCCAACGAAGCAGCTGACGAAGTCAAAGATGAATTAAATTTAGAAAATACTTCAAGGAATGTCAGTCCAATTGGAGAAGATCGAATACCTACAAGTGAGTTATTTGGCAGTGGTATTGAAGAATTGAAAGAAAAGGAAATAGATGAAATTACGATAACTAAATCTAAAGAGGATATTGATAAAACTGTCACTAAAGGGACCACTGGAGGTACAATAGATATTGATCGTGATACAAGAAAACCGGATAGAAAGTCATTTGATAGTGACAGAGATTTATACACGAAAGCAGATAAAACATCTCTTATATTGGAAAGCACGAAAACAAAGTCAAAGTCTAAATCAGGACATGAAGGAAATGAGTATTATGATGATGAAAAAGTTAGTAGTGTATCATCAAGTGAATTGTTTGAAAGCGGTGATAAAGTATCAAAGGACAATATGCAGGGACCTGATGATCTGTTTGACAAAACAAAAAGTAACAATGCTAAAAAACAAGCAGAGAACAGGAAAGAAATCACTTTCGATGAAACACATGTTAGTCCTACCCATTCAGAGACCAAAACAGATGCTGAAAAGTCTAAAAAAGCAATGAGTGCATCAGTGAGATCAGTAGATTTGTTTGGAAGTGGACATGAATCAATGGAGTTTCATAACATGGAAAAACAGGATCATTTTGAAGAAGCAAATAGAGAACAAGGAGCTGTGAATAAGGAAACTGATAATGAAACCGATGAAACAAAGTCAGAAGCTTCAAAGGAACAACCAGTGACCACTAATTTAGAAACTGGTGGTGGTGTTCAAGCAGGTAGTGGTATAAATCAAGGGGGACCGTATCCTTTCCAGGGAGGTCCATATCCTTACCAGACAGGACAGTATCCTTACCAGGGAGTACCATATCCTTACTTTGGAACAATGTTTCCAAATTCTCATGGCGCATCGAATGCGACATATGAATCTAACATGACCATGATGGGACAGAGACAACCTCAACCAAATGATACATCACCAGGAACTCCAGGCAGTGCATGTAACATGAACCAAATGCACCCGATGTACCAAATGCATCCCCAATGGCCGATGCCAATGCCTGTCCAAGTAAATGATAAAGGACAGCCTATATATCCTATACCTTTTCCTGGTATGATGCAACAAATGCAAATAGATGAAAAGGGCAACCCAATACAAAACTATCCTGGTATGCCGTTCTATTATATACCATACATTCCAAAACAACAACCTTTCCCCACACCAGGTCTCCAACAGTCAACCGAAGAGAAAAACCAAGCTATAGATGAGGGACATTCAGTCCATGCTCCTCTTTATACTGAACCAAATAATGTGGAAACTAACATCAAAACAAAGGATGGGTCAAAACCATTGAAATATGATTGTTCTAAAAGTTTGAATGAAACAGAAAAGTATGTTTATGATGTCCCCTACAGTAATCATCGTGGGCTGGCCAGACAAACATCAGCAAGTGATACACTTGGCAATACAGAGGATATTAGACCGTACAGTCTTGCAAGAGAAATCAAGACAGATATTGCCTCTGATAAGGAATCAGACAACATGGAACGGAAGATTACACAGTTGGAAAAAAATGTGTATAAGGAAGGTAAATTTTCTTATGACATGTTCACCATTGATACTGTGAGACTCGTAAATGTTACTTTATTTATTATCCCATATCCACCATTATTTATTAGATAAATAGTTAAATATAACTAGATTATTTTTTTTTTTAATTTTCAAATTTTAAAATGATTTTTTTATTTCTGATCTTTGATAAAGAAAAAATATGACTTATCCAGCAATAATATATGCTGTTCAAAGTGCATTCAAGGTGCATGGTTTGTTACCAGTATATGCCATCTTAACATTATTGTCCCTCATAAGTAACCATCATTTTTATTTATTTCTGAATATTGCTGATACTTCTTTATGTATATTATATATGTATAATATTCCGTTTTCTGTTGCAGAAAATATTTATGATGTTATTGATGAGGAGAAGTTGAAGTCTCTTAGACATAATTCAGTAAGTGATTCGGCACGTTCTTCCGCTCCACCTCCTGCTCCCCCTCGAACTCGTCCACCGTCAAAACCACGTACAACCGATACCAAGAAAAGCCGCCTGTCAGTATATGATGACAATGAATGTGAGGATAATTTGGAAGGGAATGACAACGTACAATCAGAAGGTGCTGAAGAGAGTTGCCGAACAATCCTTGTTACCGGATTATCTTTGGACGTTACTAAAGACGCACTTGAGCTTTATTTTGAAAACAAGAAAAAGACTGGCGGGGGTGAAATAGTTAGTGCAGTTATGAATGAGAAAAAGACGGAAGTTATAATAGAGTTTAAGGATTATGAAGGTATCTCACTGAAATTGTCACATTTCGAAAAAATCACATTTTTGTGTCGCCTTGAAAAGGGGTTACTTTTGTCGGCGGCGTCGGCGGCGTCTGTGTCGGCGTCGTTGTCGGCGTCGTCGTCGGCGTCCCCTAAAGCTTGTCCGCAGCATAACTCAGTCACTATAAGTCTGATTGACTTCAAACTTGGTATGCATGCTTCTTTCAATAACCTGAAGTGCAGTGCACAAGGACCGGTACTCTGCAGTTCTTATTTTTTGAGTTATTGCCCTTTGTTAATTTTCATACTTTAATTTTGTCCGGGCCATTTCTCTAAAACTAAAAAAGCTATGGACTTGAAACTTCATAGGATGATAGATCTCATTAAGAAGAAGTGCAGTGCACAAGAACCGGTACTCTGCACTTCCTAATTTTTGAGTTATTGCCCTTTGTTAATTTTCATACTTTATTTTTGTCCGGGCCATTTCTCCTAATGTATAAAAGCCATGGACTTGAAACTTCATAGGATGATAGGTCTTATTTAGAAGAAGTGCAGTGCACAAGAACAGGTACTCTGCATTTCTTATTTTTTGAGTTATTGCCCTTTGTTTATTTTCATACTTTAATTTTGTCCGGGCCATTTCTCCTTAAGTATAAAAGCTATGGACTTGAAACTTCATAGGATGATAGATCTCATTAAGAAGAAGTGCAGTGCACAAGAATCGGTACTCTGCATTTCTTAATTTTTGAGTTATGGCCCTTTGTTGATTTTCATACTTAATTTTTGTCCAGGCCATTTCTCCGAAAGTATAAAAGTTATGGACTTGAAACTTCATAGGATGATAGATCTCATTAAGAAAAAGTGCAGTGCATAAGAACTGATACTCTGCATTTCTTATTTTTTGAGTTATTGCCCTTTGTTGATTTTCTTACTTTCTTTATTTTTGTCCTGGTCATTTCTCCTCAAGTATGAAAGGTATGGACTTGAAACATCATAGAATGATAGATCTTATTGATAAGAAATGCAGTGCACAGATATGCTGCTCTGCACTTATTATTTTTTTTTAGTTATTGCCCTTTGTTATTTTTCATATTTCATTTTTGTCCTGGCCATTTCTCCTAAACTACATTGTTCACAAGGCGACACATCCGACTCGCGGAGTTCTAGTTATTATATGCATTATACTTTCTTCAGTTCTAGTTATTATTAGTAATAATACTAACATACAAATAAATTTGTATTCACATTATCCTTTTGTTCTATGATATAATTTGCGTGCTCATCAATCTTATTTCTTATGTTCCGTTGTTTTAAATGTCTTATTGATTCTTCAATTACAGATGCTAAGGAAGTTATTAAACGAGCTCACAATGGTCAACGATTTATTTTATGTGACTGTCAACTGCATGTTTCTGAATATCACCCACCACCTGTAGATCCCTTCAAAGTTTATATAACAGGAATCGCAGCTACAACTACCAATGAATGCATCACAAACTTTATAGCTGCACTAATGAATTTAGAGCCATTGTCTATAATACACGGGGAAACACCTGGAACAGCCCTCGTTACCTTCGGGTCAACTATAGGTAATACATTTGTCTTCTTTTAGATATCAATTGTGATACTTTTTTACACGTCTTAATACATGCAAAAGAATATTATTATTCCATCAAATAGTATATAAATACTAAATGTGTTCAAATAATATTTATTGACTGATATAAGTTAAAATTCTGATCTTTTGTTATTTATCACTTCATGCTTTACCTGTTATCTTTTCTGCCAGATGTAGCAAAGTTGAGAGAAGTATGTGAAAGACGCAAATGTGAAGGAAAATATTGGAAGATCTTTGATGTTGAAGTTGTTCGCAGTATAAAAGTTGAAGGACTCAGTGATAAGACTTCAACAGATACGTTGAGTCTTTATTTTGAAAATACAAGACGAAGTCAAGGCGGCGAGGTAGAATCAGTGCAATTTCGTGAAAATCATGATGATTTTATTGTGACCTTTAAACATTCTGAAGGTATGTGCATATTGGACAGTTTTTGTGTGTAAAAAAATAACAATACAATTTTCAAAGAACAAAAATTGAAAAAAAAAATTAATTATATAAATTGTTTCGTCAAATTAATTAACATACCCAATCCTTAGCTGCCAAGTCAGTTTAATTTTGTCTTTTATATGCTTTTTATACACGATGACATATTTATCAATGAAACCTTTCAAAGTTAATTATTTTCTGAATATTTGATATAATATATTATCTCAAATACAAGGTATTATTTTCTTATTGATTCGATTTATTGCACTTCAAAATAGTTTATCAATTGTTGTATGGGTGAAAATAAGTGAAATAAAATACTTTCAAATATTCACAGATGCGGAGCGTGTGTGTAATACTAATCATAAGGTTAATGGTGAAACGATTTCGGTCTCTCTTTTCTATTCATGTCTTGAGTTGGATGAAGATTTCATTGTAAAAATTCCACCGCCAATTCAGCTGGATGACGAAGATGACTATATTGTCAAGTATGGAGCATGTTTTATATTTAATCCTCATATTTGATTTATTTCTTTAGTAACTCACTTTGTGTCTCTGTTGTAATAGTATAATCTTTTAGTGGAGAATTATTGTTTTGTATTGGCTGATTTATATGCAGACACCAAAACATCTGAAGAATGTAATATGTCTTTGTTAAAAAGTTGTTAAATTTGAATTCATTTTTGTATGTCTTAACATGCCTTCTTTAAGCGATACTAGAGAATTATAAAGCAAAGATGTACAAATGTGCTATTTTTTGCTAAGTAGAAATTATAATTTACATTATGTCAGTTTATACCGCAGGAACTGCAAAATAATAGTCTATTATAAGGTTATACAGGCAGTAATTAAAGTTAAATGCAAAGCAACGCTCGAACGAAAATGTCACCTTACATAATTATGTTCCCTATTTTGCATCAAATCTTACCATTTACCAATACTTCAACATAAGGATGAATAAGATACAGAATAATTTATTAACAGTTCTACATTTTTGATTTCAATGACATATACACAGTCTTTCTTTTTAGATTCATCTTCAATTCAGAGCTGTATCGTGCACGTCTAGAGAGTAAGATTAAAGAAAACTACGGTGAGATTGTTTGGCCCCCTGCAGATAATGTTGGCAACATGAGTGTTCAGATAAACTGTAATGTCCACGAGAAAGACACCAAGGGACACGCTAAAGTGAAAAACTGGACAGAGACATGTTTATCGGTTGTAAAAGAGATAACAAATGGTTTAATTGTTGAAAGAAGTACAAATGTAGCTGTAGAGGTATTTTAAGATTTTCTCATTTCTTGGTTTGTGTGTTCTTAGCTGAAGATCTTCTTCAGTTTAAATAAGAACACATAATTTAAATTTAAATATATCCTTTGAAGCATAGAAAGTTAAAGTTAACAATTTTCATTTGTCTCTAAAGTCACGATATTTGTTACTAAACTTTAATTTTGTTAGTTGTACAAACACAGTGATGTAAGTTAGTTTAACGTGAATAAAATTCACCGAAAATAGATCTCCCTGTAACATGTTAAACTTTATAAAAAAACAACTGTTTTTCTATTATTTATTGAAGTTTAAGACTGTAATTTAAATAGTGGTACAGTTGTATTATTAGACACTTGGATCATACTAAAGTGACGAATTTATTGTTTTTAACAGGTTTGGAGTGAGCTTAAAAGACGATTAATGGAAATCGAAGTGTCTCATCCTGAATCCATTGCAGTTTTTCTAGAAGGCAGCAATTGTGTTATTGTTATGGTTGGTGAAAAACAAGTTGTCCAAACAATTGCATATAATGTCCAAGAAATCATAAATGAGATCGAAAAGAAAATACACAGTGAGAATCAAACAGTTACAAAAAGAAGAAAGTTTATGACGTATGAACTGGCCTTATTTAGGGCGTCAAGGCTTGAAGCATCCTTGAAGAAAATGCTTCAAGAAGTAGAAATTGACAATGATAAAAAGGAAATTTCGTTAAAGGTATACCAAAAGTATTCACTTTTTTGTTGAAATAAGAGAAGATAACACGAGTCTAATGTACAAAAGAAACATTGTTTGTTAAAGGTTGGGTGGGGGTTTGCGTGGTCGGAAAATATTGTTATAACGCTGTTACGCATGCGCGCGCCACCTTGGAGATGATTGAATGACTGGTGTGATATCTGTTGAATGTAAATCCAAGAATTAAATTAGAATACCAAAAAACATACTTTATTCTGTAAAAGTCAAGATGGAATATCTATATATTGAATATAATTATAATAATTATACATTTATTGCAATATTTATGCGATACTAATAAATTGAATTTTAACATAACTTTAAAAAGAACACTGTCTGATGATTAAGTAAAAGTTTGATTTGAATATTTAAAACCTGCTATATAAAATGTAAATTATGTATAAAGTATTAATTATGGAACAAGAAATGAATAATTATAATAATAATATTGTATTTTAGAGTTACAACATTTTCAATTTTGCCGTGTTGGGCTTTCTTTAGGGATTCTATATTTATCTATTTTAACATTTCTTATAAAGCAAAAACTGAACCTTATATATTAACCTCTGACAATTTAATATGCAAATTACTGAAAAGAGCCACTGCGCAAATCATAAAATTATTACATTATTGAGAAAAACAGTTTAAGATAAAATAAAATGAACATGCATTCTCTATTATTAGGTATGACCATCCTAATGCATTACCTTCACTTTGAAGAGTTTTCAAATAGGCTACTTTTAAATACATCAAAACTTAGGGCCGTGAGTTCAAACCCCAGAAGAGTCAAGTTGGGTCAACTTTTTTTTTTTCTTTTCATTTTTCTTTAACATTATTTATGAATCTCTCATATCCCTTTTGGATAGGAAAAAAGTGTTTAATTTTAATTATTTTATTAATATAGGTATTTTTTGGATAAATAATGCTAAATCTAATAACAAATATTGTACCTGATATTTTCAAAGTGCAATCAAATCTAAACTAGACCGACGAAAAGTACTTAATATTAAGATCAACCCATGTCCTTTTCAGAAAATTTAGGGAAACTTTGAAAACAGGCACTCATTTTTTTAATTAGACTCCCAACAGAAAGTGGTCAAACATGTGTTAAAAATGGACGCGGTAGGGTAACATTTTTATACATATTTAATAAATTTTAAGTAGAAGCAATCATTTTACTCATGTGGATTGTTAGCTGAATGTTACATTTTGTTTCTTACCAAAAATTAATGGGAAAATATTTTTCATAAGGATGATATTGTAGATTATTTAAAGGTTCCTTATTTCTGAAAAAGGGCACTTCTAACATCCAAGATTAAATTAAGAAAAGTGGCCATAACTCGATTTCTGTACGGTAAAGTTTGTTTAAATTTTGCATACAGGTGTCCTTTAAGGTATATATCTGACCTATGTTGTCAATTTTTCAGTTCCTTATAGTGCCCGTTAGGATGGTCATACTTAATTAGATTTTTTTTCAGAAAGTGTCATATTTCTTTACGTGTTTTTCTCATTTTTTAATACAGGGCAGTCAGAAAAATGTTGACAATGCATTGGAAAAGGTTGATAAAACGCTGAAATCCTTTGTTAAAAGACCAGTACCAGGTAGATTCAACTTTCTCTCTTGTTTTGTAAGACCAAAAGGTATCCTTAATGTTGAACATTATTTGTCCATCCCAGAATGGTGCATGTAAGTGATCACTAATACGAAATGCAGTTAGATTTTAGAGAAACATGTATACCAATGTCTAAAGGTAGTCTGAACTTAATACACTTATGTATTATTTTATTCAATTTCTATCATTATTACTATTATTTTTAATAACATTATTTGTATTATTATTATTATTGTTATTATTCATGTGTATACTGACAGACTGAAGGAAATACATTTGATTTCAGGAATATCGAGACAAATGATAAATTTACTTTTCAAGAGGGAAGCTAGACTCTTAGTGAAGAAGAAAATGATTGAGAAGAAGGTAATGGGCGTCTGGGACGTAATAAAAGGAACCAACCTTATTATGTATAGCAAGAATGAAAAAGATTTAGATGTTGCTATAGAAATTCTACAATCGTCAATAATCATGGATACCATAATGCTGGACGATGAAAAAAGTAATATTCTCAATAGCACTGTAGGCAAGACAAAGGTAGCAGAGTTTGAAGAGAACTATCAAGGTTGTATTTTGTTTGAAATTGCACCGGGAGAAATGCGTTTTGTCTGCGTTTCGGACATTCATCAAGAAATTAAGGATGAGTTTACAAAACTATTCGATCTGCACTCTGTCATTTCAAAATTTATTCCTACCAAATCGGGAATATTTAGCTATATCATTACACACAATAAGCGCGATATTGAAGGTATTGAACGACAATACCAACGCTTATCTGTGGCGATAGAAGTTAAAGACAGTAGACGAAACCCTGGTTTTGTTGTGAAGGGCAAAAAGGATGGTTGCAAGCTTGCTATAGACAAATTACAGCATTTAATAGATTCTGTTGTATGCAAAGACCATATTATTTCATGGCCGGGTTTCGACACGTTCATTCTAAGCAGCGAAGGAAGGAGGAGCATACAATCAATTGAAGTAAATGAGAAATGTGTTATCAAAGTTTCATCTGAGGTTTTGAGCTCAGGATTAGGTAAACCCAATACATTACCTAATACCACTTAAATGTTTCTTAATTTTCTTTAAAAGTAGGTTCTATGAAAATAAAGAAGACATTTTCTCCTGCTATGCTTTAGTGTACAGTTTAGGAAATTTTTATCTGTACTAACTTCACTCTTCACACACTAACTTATCAATATAAAGTTCATGATACCTTATTAGAGCTATTATTCGAGTTATTTCCCTTTTATCGAGAACGACTAAAGGCCCATTATGCCCCAGAAATGCTTTTACTGTTGATTGCCAAAAGCTTTTTATTTTTGGTTTCCTGTAAAAGTTTTCTATAGTTTCCAAAAGAGATACTCATTGGCCATTTACCTGAACAGTTTATTGCTTCTTTAATTTATTTTGTATTAGGACAGTTATAGTGATTTAGTATTTTGTATGGCAGTCAAAATACTACTTTGTTTACATTTTGCGATTTTTATGACAACTAATTTCAGATTTAATGCCATTTACTTCCATTGATAAACATTTATCATGCTCTTCATCTATCATTTAAACGTCAAAAACTCGTGTTTGTCCTTTGTAAAGAAGGAAAAAATCATTCGTTTCTGGGCATAGTGTGCTTTTTCCCGGCAATTTTGATATACACATGTATCTTTTTTCTCTGCAACTTTTTTTATTGACGATACGTTTTATATGTAATATGTTGAGGATGTATGAGATATAATTATGTTACCTTCTTTTCTATTCTCTCGTTTTATATCTGAGTGAAGAAATAAAACCTTTCTGGCAAATTTGTTAATGACAAGAATAAAGATCGACCGGTTACATATATGTTCACCAAACACAAGTTTTTGTTTTTAAAATGATTTATTATGAAATTACATTAGATTCAATTATGCAAACTGATTTTCTTCAGCATTGAAATTAACAACTACATGTATTTCTGTAGAATGAATAATCAAACTATGATTTCAAGAAAGTCCTTTATCTATATCTGTAGAAAGCACCATTCACACTGCCGTAGCTTCTAAAGAGCCCAAGGAGCGGACAAGCACAGCTGGAAAAATAATAAAAGCAGTTAAGATTGGAACTTTAGCTTCTGAACAGGTAATTATTATATTGACAATTATATGTTGAAATAACTATGGTATTTTGTTTTTCCTATAGTTATTTGCTTTTTGTTTATTTTTTGCTCCTTTAACTTATTTTTGGTGGTATCTTCAAATCATAATTCTCTGAAAGTGACGTTCTACTAATCCCATGTGATTTCATAAGCAGCGGTGAGAGACAAATGGCCATTACACGACTCAATGTACCAGCTCATTTGGCACATAGAAAGTTCGCCTTGCTGTTAATCACCCTAGCGAGCCCTGGATCACAAATATGGTCGTCTGTAAAACAGACAGATGAGTTACTGCCGGATAGCTTATTGCAAGTTTATGTTTCAGGTTGACGTTATCGTAAACTCAACAAACCGTAATCTTGATATGAATGTTGGCGCAATATCTCGTACTTTGTTGAAAGCTGGGGGTGATATCATCGAGAGAGAATGCAAGAAGAATTATGTGGACGGTATCAAGCCGGGAGAGGTAGCAGTTACAACTGCTGGAGCCTTGTCTTGCAATGAACTTTACCATGGACTTCTTGTTAGATGGGACGGTGGCCAGGGTCTTGCAGAAAAGGTATAGCATTCTATTACTCTGTTTATGTTGTTTCCTGTAAAAAATGAAGTGTACTTTGTATCAGTCATTCTCTTTCCAAATGATAATTATGCTAAAATAAGAATGGAAAGATTTATTTTTACTTTTGGTATTATTCATATAAAGATACCTGACTAATAACAGATTTATTTTTACTTTGGGTATTATTTATATAAAGATACTTCATTTATATAAAGATACCTATCAAAAGTGAAAAATGATTGTGATATATTTGAAATAACATGTGATATAAAATATGAACCATTAGGTACATTCTGGGGTTTTATTGTTAGTACATAATTATGTTAATGTCTTTTGTCAGCAATGGTTTAGTGAAGTTTTTGTATGCCATTAAAACCAGATAATAAACAATCTATGTGTCCTTCATGTCAGTAAAGTAACATTTTAGATCTTTTTTTCAAGGTAATGGTCCATTTTATAAAGTGTTGCCTTACTCTTGCAAGTGCATCAAAGCATACATCAATAGCATTCCCGGCGTTAGGAACTGGTGCAATGGGGTTCCCTGCCGATACTGTTGCACAGATCATGTTTGAAACTGTGGATGCATTTGAAGCTAAAAATCCTGACACAAGTTTAAGAACAGTGCGTTTTGTAGTATGGTCAGAAGACAAAGCTACAGCCAGGGTAAGTAGATACTGAAGCACATTCAGTTAGTGACATTCAAAATTTAAGTTTATAATTATGTATGTTAATTAAACACAGATTTTACTGTACATATGAAATGTGTTTATATGGAGATTTATCGCTACAAAAGGATTCAAATGATAAGTAACTAAGGTTTAACCTGTATTCCTTTACAAATATGTCCTTTTATAGGATTTGATGTCAGCTTAAGTGACTATTTAGCCATTTCTTTTTCATTTTTTTCTTTTCCATACAATGTATATGGATCTGTGCTGTTTTAACCTGCGTCTGACCTGATGATTCTTTTAAAGACAAAAACAAAGTTTAGGTTTTTTTTTAAAATTAATATTCAACAGGAATTTACTGCTTCTTTGTGTATAGTTTAAATATCAAAGTCAGTGGTAATAATTAGGCCAAAACGAATGTTTTTATAGACCATTACCCTGTCATAAAAATAAGTAATTTGAACTATGACCTTATGGTTTGTCACCTTGCAAAATTGGGCTTAACATGTCCATTGGAGTTTGTATGAGTTTGGGCTTCTCTGATATTGGTTGACTAAGATTTTTTCCAAGTCGCTGTAACATAATTTTACAGCATAAATGTCCAATAATGCTTCCTTCAAGCGAAACATGTATTGATTAATTTTAGCAGATGTTGAATTTTCAAGCAGAGTTCTTATTGTTACCCACTGCCACTAAAAATAAATTCATTTCAATGGCTCTTATTTCTTATTTTCCAAATATATTTTCTTTTAAATTTATTTCAGAACACATTTCTTGTTTGTATACTGTAATATGAGATTGTAGAATTCAGATATTTAAAGTATTTTTATAAATTAGATTTAAAAAATTCAACACATATTTAAATAATAAAATATGGAAAAAAAGTGAACCATATTCGCCTTTCCTGTATTCTGAAAAGTAAATAGTTATTAGAAGCTGATTCTGAAAATGTAAAAAGTAGGTCAATATTAACGTATCAGCATATATTTCATTTGATAGACTGTTTGAAATCACAAATATCTACCGGTGAATGTCGTAAACTTGGAGATTTTATTCTATTATAATTTTTTATAAAGGCTTTTAAAGATATGGAAGCTAAAGCAGGTTTTCAACGATCAAGCGAAAGTGGAATAAGACGTAGTTACCTCCAATCGGAAGCGGCCAATAATCTTATCGTTAAAAGTATGTACATGTAAAAGTGTTATGACAGAATTGTATAAGAATTAAGTGCCCTTGCAGATTTTGGCTAAATATAATTGATATTACCAGCAACATATCTCTTCTTGGTCATTGCTATAGATTAGATTCTTCATTGATAGCGAATTCCTTTTTACTTTTAAAGTTTTAGTAGTTACTAAATGACCCACTTTTTCGGCGCGGCCACCATCAAAATGATACATCAGGGGTTTGCCAGGAGGGGGATGTGCCCCCTTCTGTTTGAGGAATTTGAAGGGGGGCGGAGTGCCCCTCATCGCCAAGAAAATTTTGGACATGTAACAGGCTAAAAGTGGCCTCAGGTCGATCTTAAGGTGACGTCGAACCAACGCTGAAAAGCCTTTTACTCTATCTCATTGCATTGAGAAGTTGCAGCACTTTTAAATCAGTTTTGATGGAGAAAAACTATGCAAATTAGTGATGTTTCGCAATTTTGAGATGTCCCCCGTTGCCATGGTAACAGGAAATTTAAGATTGAGCATGTTGTTACAGAGGTTATGGTTCAGTGAACATATATGCCAAGTTTTATCAGTATTGAAGCATTTTTCATAGTTTTATAGCATTTGGAACTTGTAACAGGATGCTTTTCAATGAAAACGGTCATTTGTCACAATATGCTCATGGGGTAAAGGTTAAAAGATAATGTGAGAAATTCACTATCATTAAACCATGACTATTATTTTTCATAGATATATCTCAAAAGTAGTTTTGTTTATGAAATTCATAGAATACATACATACACTAAATAAATCTATTAGTGTTTATCATAAATGGTCTCGGCTCATACGTGTTCCAATTATAATCAGATCTTGCTGAGATTTTCAATAGATACATTTGAGAGATAGAATGATTTGCATTCCATTGATAAGATTTTATAACACAAATTTAGCACAGATGCTCAATAAATGTGATTGTATCATGATATGATGGAATATCATAACATAAAATTTATTTATTAAAATAAATTCAGAATGGTTAGTTCAATATTGATGGAAATATGAGACCATTTATAAATGAAAACTTATAAGATTTGTTAAGTTTATGTACCATTATCCAGACCCCCACCTTGTGGCTGAGAGTATATCTTTACGGATCAGACTTGCAGCCATCAGACTTGCAGCCATCGTTTAACCCTGCACGATCGTTAGAGGCGAATAAAGGGGTTCAAATTACTTGAGTCTATGCATCTCATATCTCCGGTTGGTCAGGTGGTTTTGACCCCTGGTGTTGGTTTAAGTTTGTAACACCCAAGCTTAGCCAAAATCATCTTTCGTGTTTTGGCACCATATGACAAACTGTGTTGGTGCTCTGTAAAACCAAACATACAATCAAAAAATCCTTTCCAGATAAAGGTTATAGCACAACCATTGGACCTGTGTCGTTAAGCATTGTTAAAGATGATTTGACAACATTTACATCTGGGGCAATAGTAAACAGCACCATGGAGGATTTAAATTTAAACAGTGGCGCCATCTCGCGGGCTATTTTAGGTGCTGCAGGATCAACAATTCAAAATGAAGGTAAAAAAATTTAATATGTTTATGAACAAAAATATAAGAACTTATTATGAATGATACATATTTGGTTTTGCATAGATAATCATTTAAATATATAATTCATCTGTCTATTAACTGGAAAGAATAAGTACACATGTAATTATGTTTACTTGAATATATAGACATTTTCACAATAAGCAAACATTTCTTGTGTGTGTTTTGACGAATTATAAATAATGTTCTTTCTCGTTGATATATCATTAGTGTGATTGTCTTTATGCGTATTTCAGTATTTTTATTGCTTCAAAAATGTAAACATTCCATGTTTAAGTATATACATTACTATAAAATTTAGGACGTTAATTGTGAGTTTAATTTCTTCGTTTTAACATAGGCATTAAACCATCATGATAATACAATTATTTTCTAGCACATTTAGTTTTCATTTGTATGTCAAAAGTACTGCCAGTCTTACATTAATTGAAATATTTGTAGCCCTGCTGAGAAAGCAACATTTTATGAGGGACGGTTTTGTTGTCACCAGCCCAGGGCGATTACTTTGTTCAAATATAATACATGTTAAAGCTAGAAACAGTTTAGCTGGATGGGCAGAGAGTATAAAGAAATGTTTGATGGAAACTGAACGCTTGGGTTTGAATTCGATTGCTTTCCCTGCTCTTGGAACAGGTAACGATGAATAACATTGTAATTAATCTCCTTCAAATTTGCACAAAATGTATATTAAAGGACTCCGCCTAAAAACATAACTTTTGAAATTCTTACATAGATCAAGTAAAGCTTTTAAGACGGAAAAATCTGTCAAAAAAGTAGTTGAAAATCGATTTATTTTGTGATTCTTAGGTAAATTGGAATAAAAAGGTTCAACCCTTCCATGTTTTGGTCGCTCTGTACAATAAAAATATGATGATTCTGGAAAAACGAGCTGAGGCAATTGATATGGCTATTTACACACAAATTATTGGTCCAGACTGACATCAGATGGATGGTAAACAAATATCGAAAAAATATTTTTAGAAACTTTATGTCAAACAGCATATTTGCCACTACTGTCTATGAACAGGCTCAATCAAATTGGGCCTGCAACATTTTAATTTGCCGTTTTTATTTTTATGAATCATTATAGATTACTGCTCACAATACTCATTTTTGATTTATAGGTGGAAAAGGGATATCAGCAGACCGCATGGCAAAAACTATGATAGATGCTTTCCAAGATTATATCAAGTCTTCAGACTTTAAAAAATGTCTTAAAACAATTCGTATTGTGATTTTTGAAGAAAGGATGCTAGAAACATTTATTTTCGAAACCAAGGCAGAGCTGGATACAGAAAAGCCGGCAAAATGGAGGAGCTATTGTAAGCATTGTTTTGTAATATCTTGATTGATGAAACTCGTACGATATGTCTTCTGTTCTTCCCAAGATAAGCTCTGACGGGCATTTAATGTTTATTCTGTCCAGATGTATGATATTCACTATCGTTATTGTTTGTATTTTGTGTGTGTGTGTTTTACATATCCGTATCCCGTCAATGTTATTCTTACATGAATTTTGAAATAATGTGGTTAGAATATTGCTTATAATATAGCATTGTTTCACATTGAACACACTTGACATCTGCAAGATTCGTGTCTATAACTTGAAGGTCAAGGTCATATTAAGGTGACAGTATATCAAAATGTTTTTCGGGGAAGTCGTAAATATTTCATTCAAGAATGACATATTAACTATTATCAGACAATGTGTCATATGCAAAACCTTTGTGGCTAGGATCTATGTATGATCGTCTGTCACATAAACATTCATAAGTGTGTTAATACTTTGTAGTCTGCCTGCTAAGCTCAATAGGTGAGCATCGGATTAGTAATTTAGGGTTCGATGGTTTGATTCTCTGGCGAGACGTGATTTCTCCGTGACAGTTGATCTCGGACATTAAGTCGTATTGTCATTTGTCTCTCACAGTGATTCAGAAATCATGTGGAATAAGAAGGCGGTCACATACGGAGAAAATTGTAATTACATGTTAGTTATACAGTAAAGCCGGTAAGGTGAATCGACTGCTGAGATAACATCTAAAATATGTTGAAAAAATAATCGGCGAAAAATTAGATAAAGAAAGAAACAAACAAACACAAATACTTTGCAGAATGTGCATATATATTTTATTGACAGGATTTTAGAACATATGTTATTTCTTTTCATTTGTATGTCAACCATATAATTTAGATTCTTAAATGATGCTTACATGCATGTACAGCTCTATAATTTGAATGTAAGTAAATTACTTGTACGTATTACCATTTTATTTGGATGAACCATTCATGTCCGAAGTTTATGTACCATATGTGTTTTCAAAAACTATGAATGTTGTTTTAGATTTTTTTATCTTTAGCAATTCAGGTTTTAATTTTCAGTACCTGATTGGAAATTTTGGGATAAGAAAACCCCTGAGGCTGAGAACATCCCTAAAGTTACTATGCATATCTATTGCGGATCTAAGTATTTGGTCGATTTGGTTGTCAAGAAAGTTGAAGAAATCCGACAGGAAAAGAACGTTTTTGTTCCAACAATATTTCTCGAACATATGGATGACAAACTAGTTAGTTCTTAAATGTTTTTTTAAATGTTGAGGACAAGGTAGATGTACCAACTTTTCTCATGCTGCATGTAATATTTACTCAAACATTTCTGATTTTCCATCTTTAAAATTACTCATCTAAACTTCTAGTTTAGTTTGATACCACTTGTCCCCCAGTTTTGTTTTCTGATATTGTTATAACATTACCAAAATCGGACAGAAAGAAAACCTTTTAAATAATTTATTGCCATTATTTTTACTACTTCATTATACAATAGCACAAATGTTGATTGTTTATTGTAACGTGGTCGTTAAAGAGAAATTGCTGGAATCTTAATAATCCTTTGATGAACTCATTGATGGTTCTTCTATTTATATTTGATACGGATTGCACAGATTTAGAAATTAAGCGAGTAAATCTTGTTACATGAATGTAAGTGCTTATTGATACCGATTAAATTTTTTATAATCAGCAAATAAATCAAAGTTTGCGAACAATGTCATTATAAGTATAATTGTATCAGATATTATCCTGAACACTGATGAATCCAAATAATCTCTTTAAATCTCTCTTACAGCATTATTAAAGCATACCAAAGATGACCGTTTAGTGTATTTGTTGGATTGCATACGAACATGATAACATTTATTTTTCACAACACAACAAGATCATATACAGTATACTTGTGTACGGTTTATTGCAGAAATCTGACTTGAGACGTATTGGACAATCCCTTGGAGTAAAAGTTGTTATAGATAAATCTCGGGTGAAAGTCATGGGATATGGCCAGTCTGTTGCAAACGCCAACAAAAAGTTAGAAGAATATGTTAATAAGATAGCAGATGATTTGAGGAAAGGAAGTGTTGCATCTTCAGGTTTGTGAAATAAATGTCTCATTGGCACTTTTGTTCTACATGTTTAAATAGTACTTAGTTCTTTTCCAAGAATATGTAAACAAAGTATGCTGAATTATTATGGTCATGGTGTTAGCCTAAAGGAAGGATTACTATAAGTGGGCATCCACGTCCATATCTGCGCCAGCCACTGGCTGGAAAGTTTTTGTTTTAATCACCATTTTTGCTTAGCCGATGGTGGTATTCGTTAGAAAATCAAAATATTCACATGACTACTACTTTTTCCTGTTTGCAAGCATATACTAGTAACTCTGTTTTTAAAATTTAAATGGCGTCCGTGGCTGAATGGTTATGGTCATTTACTTCAAAACACTTGCCCTTCACTGCTGTGGATTCAAATCTCGTCAGAGACTTTGAATTCTGCAATTTGAGGAAGCTATTCAATTAATTTGTGGTTCTACTCGGGTGCCCGTTCGTGTGTAAAATTATGTGCGGATGGGCACCTAAAATCTTCTTCCACCAAAAAAGCTGGAAAGTCGCCATAAGACATTTACTGTGGTTGTACGACGTAAAACACAATAATATCTACAACTTTGATTTTTTTCAATATTTTTATACAATTTCACTCTTGCAGCAAATAGTTTAATGCATTGCTTTGAAATAAAGTTAAAAAGTATAATAATGATATTTTCAGTAGCGTTTTTCTGTGCTTTCTGGAAAATGCTCACCGATTTTTATAGAATTTTCAGTCTGTGAGTCTGCCTGACCTTTTGCACCAAACTCTTAAAGGTATTGTTTCCCTGGAAACATTGTTTACTCATTTATTACCTTTACATCAACTTGTATGCAACGAAACACGACCTGTTAATTTCATTTAACTGGTTGAGATATGATTATTTATCAACAGCGTTGCCATGCTATCAAAAACATTTCTAGCACTGACCTATTTATAATTTAGTGAAGCTGCCAAAGATCTGGTCAAAGATGAAGCTCAGCGATCCTACGATCTTTGAAGTATTGAGACCTTCTGCCAGTGATTACATAGTAGTGAAAAACAAATTTCTGATTGAAACTGGCTATTTAACGACATGTATCGTCAAGGTAAGGTCATTTTTCATTTCTCACAATTAAAGTAATACATAGACATAAATAAGGAAAAGTACATGATTTTAATAAATGGTCAACAAAAATTTATGGAAAATAGACAATCAAAAACTTTTAAATGTAGGCTTTCCCATAAGGCAAAGGCTCGAATTTTCCAAAAACATTTTTTTTTATAGTTCATCCTTGGATGGATGTATGGATATATGTATGTATGCTTGGGTCTATTCTAGTAGTGTAGCTGTTATTATTGCTACCTGCTCTCAAAGAGGTATTTACGAGTAATAATCGGTGTATTTTTAGTATTTACATGTAATGTTTGGTCATTCATTTCTTGCACCTTTATATCTTATATTCTCTGGGGAGCATGAAGGTCTATTCTTGAGCCTTGTTGATATAATTATACTGTGATAGTTTATATTATTTCTACAATGGTAGCAATAGTACATTTCTGTTTGACAATGACTTCAATTTTTACACCCCCGAAACGAAGTTTTTTTTGGGGGTGGGGGGGGGGTGGGTGGGTATATAGGAGTCACCCGGTGGTCGGTCGGTTTGTCCAGTTGTCCGTTGCATTTTCCTTGTCCGGAGCATAACTTGAAGACTAATGGTTGGAATTTAATATAACTTCATACAATGATCAAGCACATTGAGAGGAAGTGCAGGGCACAAGAACCATAACTCCTCTTGACTAATTACAGAGTTATTGCCCTTTGTTACTTTTCCTTGTCCGGAGCATAACTTGAAAACTACTAGTTGGAATTCTAAACAACTTCATAAAATTGTCAAGCACATTGAGAGAAAGTGCAGTGCACAAGAACCATAACTCTATCTAAAGTAATTACAGAGTTATTGCTTTCTTTTGTCCGGACCATAACTTGAAGACTAATTGTTGGAATTCAATATAACTTCATACAATGGTCAAGCACATTGAGAGGAAGTGCAGTGCACAAGAACCATAACTCCATCTTGACTACAAAGTAACTGCCCTTTGTTACTTTTCCTTGTCCAGAGCATAACTTGAAAACTACTGGTTGGAATTCAAAACAACTTCATACAATGGTCAAGCACAATAAGGGGAAGTACAGTGCACAAGAACCATAACTCCATTTTGACTAATTACAGAGTTATTGTCCTTTGTAACTTTTCCATTGCTTTTTCTGTCCGGACCATAACTTGAAGACTACTGGTTGGAATTCAATACAACTTTATACAATGGTCAAGCACATTGAGAGGAAGAGCAGTGCACAATAACTATAACTCCATCATTACTCATTACAGAGTTATTGCCCTTTGATACTTTTCGGAGCAAAACTTAAAACGTACTGGTTGGAATTCAAAACAACTTTATACAATGGTCAAGCACAATAAGAGGAAGTGCAGTTCACAAGAACTACAACTCTGTCCAGAGTAATTATAGAGTAGTTGCACTTTGTCTTTTTTCCATTGCTTTTTTCTTGTCCAGAGCATAACTTGAAAACTACTTGTTAGAATTCAATACTATTTCATACAATGGTCAAGTATATTGAGAGGAAGCGCAGTGCATAGAAACCATAACTATTTCTTGACTCATTTAAAAGTTTTTGCTTTTTGTTACTTTTTATTGTCCAGTGCATAACTTGAAAATTAATGGTTGGAATTCAATGGAACTTTATACAGGGCAGTGAGATGAAGTGCAGTGCACAAGAACCATTACTCTATTTGGACTTATTACAGTTATTGCCCTTTGTTCCTTTTTTGTCCAGTGCATATCTTCAAAACTAGTAGAAGAAATTTAATACAACTTCATACAATGGTCAAGCACAATGAGAGGAAGTACAGTGTACAATAACCATAACTTTTTTGTTCCTTTTCCTTATCTTTCTGGACTGATTACAGAGTAATTCAATAAAACTTCATCAATGGTCAACCACATTAAAAGGAAATGCAATATGCAAGAACCACAACTATCTTTAATTGCCCACAACCATAACTCTATTTCAATTCTTTTACAAGGTATTCTGTTGCTAGTAACATCCTCATTTTCGAACCAGTCTTGCGGAGGTATTAATCACATTTAGTGATAGTTCTAGTATTTCTTTGAAATCATTTTAATATACATGTAATTCTATTTTCATTTCTTAAAAGAAAGAAATTGCTCAGAATTAAAGATCACATAAAGGATATTTAAGATGTATCAAGAAAGAAAAACAATTTGGTGAGATTTAAGCTCATGAAGATTTCTTTTTACATCAAATTTATATTTTAAGATTGAACGAATACAAAACCCTACACTGTTTATGCAATATGCCGGAAAGAAAAAGCAAATGGAAATACTAAACAAAGGAGGAAGGAATGTAGAGCAGATGTTATGGCACGGGACAAAGGTTACAGCTGTCGATAATATTAAGAACAAAGGCTTTGATAGGAACTATAATTCAGGTTATATATTTAACTTTATCTACTTAGAGGTTTCAATTACGTTCGAAAGCATGGTTTAAAGTATATTGCCATTTAACACTAGGGTTGTGTTCTAGTATATAAACGATATATGTTGAAAATAAGTTTGTTGTCTCTATTTATGAATTACAATGAACGGCAGTCATTTGTTGTAGAATGTGAGTTGAAAAACTTAAGCATTTTATAGTTATTGTTCTAGATAAAGTTATATAATTTCCTAATCTACCTATCTCTAAAAGAAATCATAACTTTATATTTCAAGGTAATACTTAAGTCTCAAAACTAAAGTTTTTAAATGTACACTTACGTTTCAAATTTTAAACTTGTTACTTTGTCTACAGGATCATCACATGGTGTAGGTGTGTATTTTGCTATGAAAGCCTCTACATCTGCTAGTGGTTATTGCAGTCCAGACCAATATGGTCACAAACATATTTTCTTGGCACACGTCTTGACAGGTGAATATTGTGTTGGCAGGGGAGCTATCAGAGTACCTCCCACAAATCCTGCGTTATCGTCGGGCACTTTTGACTCTACAACAGACAATGTACAGGCTCCAAACTTCTTTGTTATTTTCCATGATGCCCTGGCATATCCATCCTACTTGATAACATTTAAGTAAATTAATGATACACTTAAGTTATGGAAGCAGTTTTCTTTTGTACGATGCTTATTATTTTCCTCTGCCAATTCAAACGCCGATCTAAAAATAAATATGCATTTTAATTAAATCGAACAGAATTATGTTCCTCATAATTCAATCTGGTTTCAACTGAGAAAGTTTTCATTGAAACTGTTTGCTGTGTATCAAATTTATATAGATTTTGTACATAGATTGTATATGCACATGGATATCTTTACTGGGTTATGAGTTAAAAATATATATAGCCGCCAAAATTTCATTGTTTGCAAAGAAACATGTATTTTATTTATATTGTTGGAACTTTCAATGTATGTCATATTTCTTTTTCAATTATTTCTTTCCTTTGTATCAGTATAATTTGTTATTGATAAATGACTCTGTGATTATTAAGGTTGTATTGTAAATTAAAATGACCTGGCAATGTTAGTCAGAATTGTAATTGAACACTGCATTACTTGGTCAAATATTTGCTGTAAAATATACAACGTTGGACAACACTTTTAAATAACTTAAATTAATATGCTTAATGAGAGTGCAATTTTTTTTTATAAGTCTTTTGTGCTAAATTGTCTATGATATATATTGGACAGTCTTAAGACTCTTCTTGTGATTTATATAATGTAAGTTAATCCGTATATAGCGTGTGTGAGTTGTGTTGATATACTTTCATAATGCCTTGTTTAAAGCAGCATGAAAAGTTTGAAAATGTATTTCTAGGTAAAATGCTGTAAAGTGAACAAAGAAAATAATATACATATTGCAAATGCAAACTACACTTAAAATTCAAGTAAATTACGCAAAAAAGAGGTCAAAATATATACATTTGTACAAAATTTGCCCTTACTATGATAGACATGCAGTATAAATAATATGATGAACACTAAAAAAGCAGTTTTTAATCACACATAACATGCATTTTTTTACTTGAATATTCGACCTTTTCACTTTTCAAAAATCTTTGTACATTTTTCATCTGGAGGCATGCAGCTTTAATTTATATTTGTTAGTTTAACCATGAGTCAGTATTTATAGATACTACAATAGTGAGTTATCATTAAGAGCTATTATAAGTAGCCACAATCTGACAATAAGGAAAAGACGTGATAAGAAGCCTGCTATCTCCAATTCATGGAATGAATGACTACGCTTTGAGCTAAAGCTGCTGGTTTTAAAACTTACCGTATTACATTTAAACACTAACCGTGTTAAAACCAATAATTATAATATCGTTAGTAAGGTACAAAATGACATGTTTGAAGAGGGCAATTTTTGCATTCAGTTTTTTGCAAACAGAATCTATTTGATAATGCCAGTTTTATCTACATAAATGCCCAATAACTTTTGAAATGTAACATTTTCTAGAGTTGTATCAGGAGAGGATTACATTTCTCCACCTTTTTTGAAGAACCAATTATCATGCAAGGACATATTAACAAGGATGCACCAATCATTAATAGCAGTTAAATTTTTTTTTGTAAATTATCTTCTATTTCTAGTCACCGGATTGGTAAAGTGTAGAGTCATCTGCATACAAGTCTATAATAAGATCATTACAGGGTATAAATATATCATTGATATAAATAAAAAATAGTAAGGGCCCAAGATAGGATCCTTAAGGAATTCCTGATTTCACCACTAAAGTGTCAAATTTTATATTACCTACTTGAACTGTCTGTTTTCTGTTTGATAAATAGAAACAAAAAAGTTTTTTTCAGAAAAATGATATAATTTCAGTTTGTGCATCAAAACGTCATGATCGACAAGATTAAATCAAAGAAAATTGCACCTATCATTTTACCATTATCAATATCTTTGATCCAAGCATCAACTAATCTAAGTAATTCTGTATTACAAGAATGATTGTCTGTCATGTATAATTTTTGTATTTTGAAAAAATGCCTGAAGATGTGACGCTATATACTGCAATATATTGTTCAAATGTTTTTGAAATGTTGGGTAGAATTGAAATTGGGCGATAAAATTTCAGAAAAGTCTCTACTTTCTGATTTAAACACAGGCAAGACACGAGTTTCCTTAAGTTTTTAAGTAAAAATACCCAAATAAATGCTATTATTAGTCCCCTACTGGTTTAACTGGAGGGGACTTTAGGTTTTCCCTCCGTCCGTCTGTCTGTCCGTCTGTCTGTCTGTCAGTCTGTCTGTCAGTCCGTCAGTCCGTCTGTCCACAAAACTGGATCCCGCGATAACGCAAAAAGTACTGAAAAATATTTTTATGAAACTTGATGTATGGATAGATGGCAGTATGGAGATTATGCACGTCTTTTTTTTTCTTCCTATGTTGAAAATTCTGGTTGCTATGGCAACAAATAGTCTAAAAATATGGCAAATTTAACACATAAACTGGATCCAGTGATAACTCAAAAAGGACTGAAAATATTTTTTTGAAACTTGAAATATGGGTAGATGGCAGTCAGGAGATTATGCACATCTTTTTCTTTTCTTCCTATGTTGAAAATTCTGGTTGCTATGGCAACAAATAGCCTGAATTTCAAGATTTCTAATTTAAATTTTTCAGCTTTTTCACTATAAGTTTTTATTTCTTAAGGTGTTTACTTCAAATTTTAAATATAAGTTTCTGGCCATCAACCACATCATATGTGACAAGGTTTACAACTATAGCACAAAAATTATCAGTATTACCTCCCTTGAACTTAGAATTTTTATGAAAAAAATGTTGTCTTTTTTAAATTACTTCTTTATTTCATAATGTATCTACTTCAAACTTCATATATATGTTTCTTATTATCACTCAACATTTTTGAGAAGGTTAAATACTCTAGCAAGACTATTTCCAGAATTATCTCCCCCCTTGAACTTAGATTTTTTTCGAGAAATTGATAATTTTCACTCCAACTTCTTCATTCCTTATAGGATTTACTTTAAAATCCCACATCATAATAATATGACAAGGTTGTATAAACATAATTTCCTTACTAGGCAGGGAAACTTAACACATTACTGTGATATAGACAAACTTAGAACTCAAAAATTTAAGTTCATTCATGTCATTCATCCACTGGTAAAATTGAATGGCCAATGGCCCATCAGAATGTTGCTGGGGTTCTAACCGGTAGGGGACTTATGGACATGATAATTGCTTGTTTATAATAGATGTTATGCAAGGAATAATAGAATCCCCAGAACTTTTTAAAATTGCACGGTCAATACTATCAAGGCCTGTAGATTTATTTGTGTTTAATTTTGGAATTATTTGCTTCACTTCCATGGTGGTTATGTAAGGAATATCAGTACGTGAGAGATACCCAATGTTTTCAGAGTGGAAACATTGTTTTTAGAAAAAAATAGTTTTGGTAATGATATTTGAAATATTGGTAATATGATTATTTAGTTCTTTGCTAATTATTTTTCTTTTTTAGACGGAAATGTTATCCGTTTAGTTTGATGTTAGAAGCTTCTTTCAAGTTTTTCCATACATACTTTGAGTCCTTATTCTTTTCAATGGCAGTATTAAAGTATTTCTTTTAGCCTTTCTTATCAATGAAGTAACTTTGTTAAAATTTTGTACTGATCAAAATCTTCTTTATTATGACACGTATTGCACAAATGTATTGTTATTTAAATTTCATAGACCTGTAAACCAGTCAGGCTGGTGCTCCCGTTTTACGCATTTTTCTTTCATTGGCACATGCTTTGCAAATACTTAATTTAAAACAGAGTTAAAGAAATTTCAAGAATTATTTGGATTTGTAATTGTTTCAGTAATATCTGTACCAGATGTTAAAAGATTACATTGAAAATTTTCTTCACGAAATTTTTTAGTCATTTTATAACCTTATGCAACCCATATTGTTTATTTTTGTTATAATTAGTTAAATACACCATACATACAGGAAAGTGATCACTTATAGATGTAAATGTCTGAAATCTGGCAACAAATGTATTAATGTTGTAATATACAAACATGTTTTTATTCTCATAGACACTTTGTTAATATCGTTAACACTTGAACTTATCCAGTATTTAAGGAAACACAAGTAAGCCAAAGCAAATATAATGTTTTTCATCGAATATTTATGGGCTTTTTTGTCTAGATAATAAATTTCAATCATTGTTGTAGTGTACACAATATGTTGTCAAAGTACATGTAACAAACAACACATTCCCCAGCTATTATAAAGTTTACAATACATACCGTTTAATTTCTTTAACCTTATTTTGTTGAATGTTTAAGGTATTGGATGCCTATTGCAGAGAGTATTCATTTCAGTGAGCACACAACGTTTTGATGGGGTGTGGCTTCAAACCACAGAAGAGGGTTTTTTTCTCAATTTTTGTCTATTTTTCTTCTTTTTGTTTGGCCAGAATTTGATTTTTTTTCTCATATTTTTTATATTAAATCTGAAATTAAGTAAAATATTAAAGTTTTATGCTTAATTGTTTCTGTGAATCATGTGAAACTGGATAAATGATTATTATTTGAAATCAGCATTGTAATCTTTCTTTATATTTTTCACAAATTTTTAAATTTGTATCAAGATAATAATTATTAAATAATATTTTGATGCTTCTATTTGATATGACAAAAGCCAACAGGTTTTCTTACTGCACCCTCTTCTTATTTGATGTTAAAGGACAAGTACCTGTCTCAATAAACCAAAATAAAATCTTTTCATAGACATTTGTCATTGGTTTTAATTGTAACTAAGGTTTTTATTAGTCCTTTGCAACTAAGAAAAATGAAACTAGCAAAACTTTTCTTCAGATAATGAAAACATATTCTTTGTTGTTGCTGTATAAAACTCATACAAAAGTTATACTTCAATTGTCAATATTTTTTAAACAAGATGGTAATTTTTTTTATTTTATGTCCAGAATATAGTACCGTTTATTAATGTAATGTTTTAAATGCCTTTTGAGGAAGTGTTAATTATACATGTAATACCTTAAATTTTGTTAGAATTTATCATACTTGTATATAATGGAAGGGAAATAGAGAATAACAGGTTACTGTCTTTTGAGAAAGGGTTTCTCAGACGAGGTTAGATATGGTCCTGGAAGGGGCGAGGCTTGCCGAGCCCCTTCCGGACCATATCTAGCCGAGTCTGAGAAATCCCTTTCTCAAAAGACAGTAACCTGTTATTCTTTTTATCATGCCTCTATTATGATTTTGCATTTTATTTTTTTAATTCGGGGCGCTAATTTCTGAAAGTAAGGTAACCACAAGAGGGTTATACGCCAAACAAGTAGTCCGAGGGTTTTTACCAATAATTTTATAACACAACACAATTTTTGGTACAATTTGCTTTAACAATTTATTTACTGTGTAATATCATAAATATTCAGCAAAGTCAATTAAACAATACCAACAATAAACATCATCAGTGCTGATCTGGCGTAGGAACATAGTGTTCTCAAGTCACTGACTGAGAAAGGTTGCTGTTCTCAGACAGGCTTTATCAGGCAGTTGTCATAGAATGGCATGATAAAAGTTCAGGTCTCCTTATGTTTTTAATGTTAGGCACATCATTATTTAGGAGATAGTTTTCATCAAATTGGGCCATAATTTGTTTATAAAGACATAAAAGTCTAATAACAGCATTTTAGGGAATAATGGTGATTTTTGTGTCACCTGCTACAGAGTAGCGGCGTCATATAGGGATCACTTCGCCGTCATCCGTCTGTCCATCCATTTTGTCTGTCACAAATATTGGAAAGGCTACTCCAAAATGTCAAGAATAATCAGTATCAAATAAAGTTGTGCAACTCGTCGGTATTTTCCAGTTCAATGATTTTTGTCAGTTATGTCTTTAATTATTTTTTTCAAGTTTGTCAGGACTACTCCTCTTATACCAACAATTTTATACCAACAATGTAATTTAAATGAAACATTACAAGATTGATTATTATAGTCCTGGCGGCGTTGCCGTTGCACTTTCAGGATCACTTTTAGGCTTCGGTACCTTGTTCTGTGAAGTGAATTTCTTTGTTCCTTTTTGTCAGTTTGAAATATATTCTCTTAACCTTCCTTTTAAAACGATGTTCATTTTTCTGATGAACGAACCCATCATGAGTCTCTTCTCGTTTTCCAAAGTGTCAACTTTAACAATTTTCATCCAATTTTTCACTGTACTATTAGTATCCTTCTTCATCCTTTCATCTTGCGGCCTTTCCTTTGCTTTTCATCAACAAATGCTAAAACCACTCCACAAGCATATCAATGGTAGGTAGTTGGTTTAGAAGCTTGTCAGAATATCTTTTCTGTATAGACGATTTTCAGTTTCTGTTCCTGAACTGTTCTGATTATCTCCACTAACTATTATGTTATTATACACTGGGTAAAATGGTGAAGATTTTCTTATACCACTTTGTGGTAACAGATATTGATTTTCCTCTGCAGCTGAAAAAAATGCAATTCACGTTAAAAAATGAAATTAAAACCAGAAAACAAATTGGATTTCTTACATTTTAAACAGTTTATACTTTTTTTGTAGGCTGACTTTTGTACAGTGATGTTCATCGACAGGATGTTCAAGAATTCCGGCTAGCTGTTCCGCTAGTAATTTGTTCAGGGAATGTAATGTACTTTCAAAGTTAATTGCAGATGAAGCAAGTTTATGGACTTCTTTCATGTCTTTATTGATGAAGTCATTAGAATTTTTTCCATTGATTAGAAATTTTGATGTAGTATTATACAGGTTTATAGTATATGAGCCACCGTCATTGCTGGTTACCCTAACTGACGTTTGTACAATTGCACTTCCAGACGAGTCATATGTGTTTGTTTTCTCCGCTGTACCTAGCTTTTTGTTAAATTCTGTAAAGTTTTTGAGTATAGCCCATTTTAAAAAATCGTAAGTAGCAGCATTAGCAGTTCCAACCATACCATCCTGTGAGAGTATAACTTATACTTTGAGTACGTTTTGCAGCATGAAGTTTCTTCAATAATGATTTTTCAATGTTTAATGTGTAGTCGGCCCGGGTTTGTTTTGCTGGGACTGTGTAG